AGCTCCAGGGTACAGAGAATCTGTGCACTTGGGGAGGGAGAATGCATCAACTGTGAGACTTTGCACTGAACTCAGTGCCGCCCCATCATAGAAAAAGGCAGAACACTGAGCTGCACCTACCTGATGCCTGCCCACAGAGGAAGCATTTGGACTGGCCCTAACCAGAAGTGAATCACCCATCCCAGCAGTTGGAATTTGAGTTCCAGCAAGCCTCATCACCATGGGCTGGAGTGCTCTTGGATTCTAAATAAACTTCAAAAGGAGTCTAGACTACAAGGACTGCAACTCCTAGGCAAGTCCTAGAGCTGAGCTGCACTCAGAGCCAGTGGACCAGGGGAGCACACAACCTACTGAGACACTGGCCAAGGCAGCTAATGGAGTGCATGCACCAACACTCCCCTAATCCCAGGCTGCACAGGCTGTGGCTTCACAAGAGACCCTTTTTTCACTTGAGGACAGGACAGGGAAGTACAAAGAGAACTTCATCTTGCATGTTGGATACCAGCTTAGCCACAGTAGGACAGGGCACAGAGCAGATCTGTGAGGACCCCATTCCAGGCCCTAACTCCCGGAAGACATTTCTAAACACACCTTGGGCCAGAAGAGAACCTGGTACCTTGAAGAGAAGGAACTAGTCATGGCAGGACCAACACCTGCTGAATAAAGGGCCTTTGGGCCCTGAATAACCAGCAGCAATACCTAGCTACTGTGCCATCAGCCTTTGGGTGAGAGGCTGAGATGTGCTGGCTTAAGGTAAGATACAGCACATTCCCAGCTGTGGTAGCTACAATGACAGACTTAATTTACTTGATAAAAGCAAAGGGAAAAGTAAAGGAGACTTTACCTGGCACCTTAGGTACCAGCTCAGCCACAGGGGTCCTGGGTTCCCCTGGCTCTTAGACAGCATTTCTGGACCTGCTGGGCCAAAGGGGAGCCCACTGCCCTGAAGAGTGAGTCTCTGGCCTGGCAACCTTCACCATGAGCTGACTGAAGAGCCCTGGAGCCTTAAGTGAACATTGACAGAAGCCTAGAAGTATGCCCTGTGGGTCTGCTGTGGTGGCGGCCACAGAGTGAGGCTCCTCTGCCTTCGGAAAGTGGAGGAAAGAATGGGAAGAACTGCACCTCATGTTTTGACTGCCAGCTCAGCAGCAGTAGAACAGAACGCCAGGTTGACTTCTAAGGTTTCTGACTCCAGTCTGTGGCTCCCAGATGGCATCTCTGGAACCACCTGGGGTCTGGGAGAACTCGCTACCCTGAGGAAAGCACACAAGCCTGTCTGGTTTTGCGACCTGCTGATTGTACAGCTACAGGGCCTTGAGCAAATATAGGCAGTAGCCAGATAGTGGTAACAGCAGAGCTTAGACAAGACCCAGTGCTGTGCAGGTTTCAGGTCTGACTCAGCACAGTCACAGTGGTAGAGGACACAGGGGTGCCTGTGTCACTCTATCCCCAGCTTTAGGTGTCTCAGAACAGAAAGAAAGAGACTCTGTTTGTTTGGACAAAAGTAAGGGAAGAGAACAAGAACCTCTGCCTGGTAATCCAGAGAATTCACTCATATTTTGACCAAGACCATCAGGGCAGTACCTCTACAAGTCTGTGAGAACCACAGCATTACTAGGTTTGGGGTGCCCACTAAAGCAGACACAGCTTAGATCACAACACTCAAGTCCTTTCAGTATCTGAAATAAGCCAGGCACAGAAAGATAAACATTGCATGTTCTCACTTATCTGTGGTACCTAAAAAGTAAAACAATTGAATTCATGGAGATAGAGCACAGAAAGATGGTTACCTGAGGGTATGAAGGGTAGTGGGGGTGGAGGGAATGTGGATGACTGATGGATACAAACAAATGGAAAAAATGAATAAAACCTAATATTTGTTAGCACAACAGTGTGACTCTAGTTATAGTAAAAAAATAATTTCATGGTACATTTTAAAATAGCTAAAAGAGTACAATTGAATTGTTTGAAACGCAAAGGATAAATGCTTGAGAGGATGAATACCCCATTTACTCTGATACAATTATTACTCAGTGCCTGTCTGTATCAGAATATCTCATGTATGCCATAAATATACTTACTATATATCCATAAAATTTTTTAAATAAGAATTTCAAAAAATAATAAAAAATAAACAAATTCTCATCATTACAATATTGGGGCAGGCAGGTAAAGATTTCTTAAAAAGGATACAGAAAGCACTAAGCATTAAAAAAAAGAAGTTGGAATTTGTTAAAATTTCAAACTTCAGCATAAAAAGACAAGCCACAGACCCTATTATTTGACAATGGACTCATAGCCAAAATACATACAAACTCCCACAACTCAATTATAAAAAAAAAAAAAGAGTAGAAGACTTGAATACACACTTCACAAAAGAAAACATGAGATCTAATACACACGTGGAAAAGGGCTCAATATTATTGATCATCAGGGAAATACAAATTAAAGCCATAACAAGATACCATTTTATATCTATTAGAATGGTTAAAAGTAATGAGACTAATAAAACCAAATGTTGACAAAGATGTGAAGCAACTAGAAAACTTATGAACAACTGTAAAGGGATTTATAAAGGTATTATTCATAATAGCCCAGAATTGAAGACCACCCAAATATTCATCAACAGAAAAAAAAATACATTTTATCATATTCATACACTGGAGTTCTACTTTAAATAAAGAAGACCCAACTACTATTATAAGCAACAGTAAACTTGAATTTCAAAAGCCTTAGGCTAAGTGAAACTATATACAAAAAAGCTACATCCTGTATGATCCTATTCATTTGACATTTAAAAGCATGTAAAACTCATTATGGTGACAGAAATCACAACAATGATTGTCTATGGGTGTGGGAGAAACTGAAGGGGGCCCAAGGAAACTCTCTTGGAGGATGGAAATGCTATCTAGTTTGATTGGGTTATAATTATATAGCTATACATATTTATCAAAAATCACTGAACTATATACTGAAAACCTATGCATTCCAATATATGCATAATTTTAGCTCAACAAAGTACTGTCAGGGAGAAAAAGAAAAAAAACAACAACTTTAAACCAGACTTCTAGTTCGGGATGTCAGAATGACCACAGTATTTTTCTTCTCCCCATAAAAGGGTAAAAGGAGGGAGTATGAGAGGATGTTCTGGATCACTGGTATTATTCCAGTTATCTTGTTCTCAATGATGATCATATAGGTGTTGTTACTTTGGGATAATTTATCTATTTATACTCATGATTTGTACGTTCTTCTGTATATATGTTATATTCAATTTTTTAAAATCATACAATCAATCAGGCACCCCTTACAATCCACTGCTGTACAAAAGTTCTATGTAGCTACTGAATTTTCACTAAGGATGTTGAATTTACCAAATAATGGTTTGGTTTCTAAATCAAAACAAAAAACAAAAGTAAAAACACTCCTTCGCTCAGATGATCTGTACTAGTCCCAGGGTAGGCCTAAAATATCAGCTGCTTTTCAGCTCCCAGTGAAATACACCATGAAAGTGACTTTACAAAGGACTGCAAGACAGATATGCATTAGGTAACCTCTAAGCATCCCAATAAAATGTGAATCCATTTTCTTACCCCATCTTTATCCTGATGTTCTGTAGGTATGTTTGCTGAAAATGTATCTTCCATGTTTCTCAAAATAAACTGTAACTTTTATACAATTTATGTGTCAGAGAGCTTGTTTTTTTTGCCAAATCTTCATTTGGACCTCTGCTAGACTACCAAATTCCCTGAATATTTTTTTAGAGTAACAATACGTAAAATCGGATGACTGAAGTGTTGTGAAGGTAGCTAAATTCAGAAATCAAAAATATATAATGCAGGCAATTAACACAACTATTCTATATTCTCTGATAGTATTGAGCAGTAGAGAAAACAGAGGGTGGATTAATCAAAAGTTCAAGGTCACATAGGAATTGGTGGGGATAAAATGGTTTGGGGAGTTTAAGTGAAATCACTAACTACAGGATCTGAACGTAAAAGAGGAGAAAATGAAACCAAGAGACTTCAATGACAAGGAGAATAAAAGAAGTCTAGGACCAAAAATTAAACAGCACATTTATCACAATTCAAGCAGCAAAAGTGGTAGAAAGACAAGATGTTACAGTGAAAAAAGAAGAGTTTCAGAGTTCAAGACATATTTCATCTACTTAATTGTACACCTGAAAATGAACATAGGAGTATCAACCACTAGAATTATCAATCTATTGTATGGTGTCTGACCCAAAGTAGAATCTGAGTAAGAGGTAACTTTTAAGTTGACTTAGTAAATGCAAATTGCTTTTAATTTTTACCTATAAGACAATTATACACTCACATCTACTGAGAAAAAAACAAAACTCATTCCAAGCTTATAAATATAAGCTTATCTTATAAATAAGATAGAGCCCAAATGATATTTTTAGATTAACTAATCTAATGCTCCCTTCTTTTCTCTTCTTTTAATTTATTCTTAAGGATAAATTAAAGTTGATTGGACAGATATTACACATGCAAATATATAACCATATATATTCAAAGTAAAACAAAATTTCACTTTTTTCTGGAACAATTTTAAATCAAAAGTACCATGATTTATGTAATTTTTTTTACATCTGAAGAATTTCTACACTGCCCTTATAACTCAATATTGACCACAATGAGATTAACCACAAATCTAAAGAAGGCAGATTACTAATAAAAATAGATTTGCTCTTCTTACTACAGAAACAACCAAAGCAAGAAAACAGTATTAAATAAGACAATTGAAATTTTAGTACTCAGAGCAATGGGAAAGATTAAATCATATTAACAGTTAATCATATGAACATTAACAAGTTCAGTCTTGGCACCACATAATTCACTAGGTGCCACATTACACATTATTATACATTCATCCCATCAATTGATTCTTGACTACAAATTTTAACAATTCTTTAATCAGCAAATACATTAACCGCAGCTTTGCCAATGATAAAATGATATTTAAAGAAATATGCTTACCTGTCTCAATAGTTTCTCAACAGCCGACATTACGATAAGGCCTCTCCAAACTACTGGTTCACTTTCTTCAACCAGAAAGCCCATAGACATACTGCAACAGTAATACAGAAATACAACTAATTTGTATAAATTATCAATATTATTCTGAAAAGTAACATTTAAAAAAATATATGCTTACCAAGCAATACCATAATTCAAGAGAGGCTTCATTAGGTTGCCTGGAAAAAAAAACCAAAATCCTCTTTTAGAAGAATAAAACATAATAAATAAACATTCTGACTTGGGTTTTTAAAAATCTTTTCAGAAATATTTATATATTTTTTATTAACAAAAATTGCATATGTTTATAGAGTACAATGTAATGTTATGATACATGTATACATTGTAAAATAATAATAAATAGTAAACCATGCTAATCAGCATTCCACATCACCTCACATACCTTTCCTTCTTTAGCAGTAAAAACATTTATTCTACTCTTGTAACACTGTTGAAATATACAAAATGTGATTGTTAACAATAGTTACTATGCTGCGTAACAGATCACTGGAACTTATTCTCCCTGTCTAACTGAAACTCTGCACCAGTTGACTAACATCTCCCCTTTGTCCATCCATCCTTCTAGGACCAAAGAATACCAAACTGGAAATACAAATAGGCTGCTCATATTGTACAATTTAACTTTCAACTAAATATATCTCAATTTGCAACAGTTTAAACATTATACCAAGCATACTACTAATATTCCCAATAGAAGAAACATTGATAAATAGTTGGGACATAATTTTACTAAGAAATAATTCAACTACAATTTTAAAATATGTTTCTAAAAAATAGCCTCAATACCAGGCATGGTGGCTCATGCCTGTAATCCCAGCACTTTGGGAGGCTGAGGTGAGCAGATCATTTGAGGTCAGGAGTTTGAGACCATCCTGGGCAACAAGGTGAAACCCCGTCTCTACTAAAAATACAAAAACTAGCTGGGCATGGTGGCACACACCTGTAGTCCCAGCTATTTGAAGGACTAATGCAAAAGAACTGCTTTAACCTGGGAGGCTGAGGTTACAGTGAGCCCACATTGTGCCACTGTACTCCAAAGAGCAGGAGTTTGTCTCAAAAAATAAAAAATAAATAGCCTCAACAAATAATAACTCAACCACAATTTAATTTTTTTTCTAAAAAATAGCCTCAATAACTAATTTTGTCCACCAATTTTATTCAGACAAAAATGCATAAATATATAAATTATATATATGCTAATCTAATATGTGCATACATGTATGTGTATATATTTGCATGCACACACTTCTAATCAGTCCTTCCTACAGTGGAGTGTTACTACTTATTTGTTCCTTTACTTAGCTTAAAAAGTATAAAAATGCACAAAAGTAGAAAAACTCAATTTAAAATCTGAGATGAAAAATTGCATTAATCTATAGAGAAAATCTATTGCTTATGGTGAAGTAAAAAAAATCCTTTGTATAGTCAACAAATGGTTACAATAAAATATAATTCCTTTTATCAAACTATCTATGCAACCACATTCCCACTCACTCTTGTTTTCATATCCTACATCTTTACCATAACAAACTACAATAGAAGCACTCTTAATTAATATGCTTTGGACAAGTTTTGAGCAAAACGTTTAGAACAAAATCATAAAACCTAGTATTATTCTGTTTTCAGATTTTAGCATATTGTCTTCAGGTTTTTTTTCCCTCTATAAAGAGACTGAGTGTATGAAGCATATATATACACACATGGATTATATAAGAAAACTGTATAAAGCATATACACATGGATTACGTAAGAAATCACCTGCCATGTTCCATTCATTGAATCCCTACTCAAAGAAAAAGCCATGGTCCTTCATTAAAAGACTACTGAATGAGTGTATGTTTATAGTTTTCTTCTTTAATTTCTGACTAAACTAACTAGTTCATCTACTCATACCTAAATAGAAAGAAGTATTTTTCTTCTATGTAATTTTCTCAATTCTTACCAAAGCATCCAAATATAACCTTTCACTATCATGGCAATCCTTTTTTGCCATTTTCTTCAATTACATATAAATACAGATTAAAGAATCTGAATTATCACATGCTTTTTCACCTTTGATCTGCTAAAATGGTAAGTGACATTAAGAGATTTTTCCTAATTTGGAACAAACTTGCTTTTCTGGATTAAACCCAATTTAATTATAATGTAGTTATCTTATGCAATGCTGAATTTGGTCTGCTAATATTTGCTTAACATGATATCAGTATGTGAAAGAGATATCTCCACTCCTATGTTCACTGCAGCACTATTCACAATAGTCAAGGTATGAAATCAACCTAAGTGTCTAACAATAGATGAATGGATAAAGAAAATGTGGCATATATACACAATGAATACTATTCAACCATTAAAAAGAATGAAATCCTCAGCAAACTGACACAAGAACAGAAAATGAAACACCGCATATTCTCACTCATAGGCGGGTGATGAAAAATGATAACACATGGACACAGAAAGGGGAGTACTAAACACTGGGGTCTATTGGGGGGAAAAGGGGAGGGCCAGTGGGAGGGGGAGGTGGGGAGGGATAGCCTGGGGAGAAATGCCAAATGTGGGTGAAGGGGAGAAGCAAAGCAAAGCACACTGCCATGTGCGTACCTACGCAACTGTCTTGCATGCTCTGCTCATGTACCCCAAAACCTAAAATCCAATAAAAAATTAAAAAAAAAAAAAGAAAGAATGAAATCCAATTAATCAGGGAGGTGAAAAAGCTCTACAATGAGAATTACAAAACACTGCTCAAGGAAAACAGAGATGACACAAAGCTCATGGATAGGAAGAATCAATAACATAAAAATGGCTATACTGCAATTTACAGATTCAATGCTATTCCTATCAATCTACCAATGACATTCTTTGCTGAACTAGAAAAAACTATTTTAAAACTCATATGCAATCAAAAAAGAGCCAAAATAGCCAAGGCAATCCTAAGCAAGAAAACAAAGCTGGAGGAATGATATCAACCAACTTCAAACTACACTACAGGGCGACAGTAACCAAAACAGCATAGTATTGGTACAAAAACAGGCACATAGGCCAATGGAACAGAATAAAGATCCCAGAAATAAGACCACACACCTACAACCATCTGATCTTCGATAAAGCTGACAAAAACAAGCAATGGGGAAAAGATTTTCTCTTCCATAAATAATGCTGGGATAACTGGCCAGTCATAAGCAGAAGATTAAAGCTGGACCCCTTTCTTACACTATATACAAAAATCAACTCAAGATGCATGAAAGATTTAAATCTAGAAGCCAAAACTACAAAAATCCTTGAAGACAACCTAGGTATTACCATCCTGGACATAGGAATGGGCAAAGATTTCATGACAAAGAAAGTAAATGCAATCACAACAAAAGCAAAAATTGACAAGTGGAATCTAATTAAACTTAAGAGATTCTACACAGCAAAAGAAACTATCAACAGAGTAAACAGACAACCTATAAGAGGAAATATTTGCAAACTATACATCTGACAAAGGTCTAACACCAACCTCCATAAAGAAGTTAAATTTACAAGAGAAAAACAAATTATCCCCATTAAAAGTGGGCAAAGGACATGAACAGACATTTCTCAAAAGGAGACATACATGCAGCCAACACACATAAGAAAAAAATATCAGTATCACTGATAATTAGAGAAATGCAAATCAAAACCACAATGAGATACCAGCTCACATCAGTCAGAATGGCTATTATTAAAATGTGAAAAAATAACAGATGTTGGTGAGGTTGAAGGGAAAAGGGAATACCTACACACTGCTGATGGCAGCGTAAATTAACTTGACCACTGTGGAAAGCATACAGTGATTCCTCAAAGAGCTAAACACAGAATTACCATTCAACCCAGCAATCCCATTCCTGGGTATACACCCAGAGGAACATAAATCATTCTACCATAAAGACACATGCAGACAAATGTTAACTGCAGCACTATTCACAATACCAAAGACACTAAAACAACTTAAATACCCATCAATAACAGATTGGATAATGAAAATGAGGTACATATATACCATATAATACTAGGCAGCCATAAAAAACAAACAAACAAAAAAGATCATGTCTTTTGTGAGAATGGATGGAGCTAGAGGCCATTATCCTTAGCAAACTAATGCAGGAACAGAAAAGTAAATACCACGTCTTCTCACATAGAAGTGGGAGCTAAATGATAAGAACTTATGAACACAAAGAAAGAAACAACAGACACTGGTGTCTACTTGACAGGGGAGGATGGAAGGAGGAAGACACAGAAAATATAACTATTGGTTACTGGGTTTTATATCTGGGTAATGCAATAATATGTACAACGAACCACTGTGACATGCGTTTAGCTAAGTAAAAAAAACTTCATATGTACCTCCAAATGCAAAATAAAAGTTTTATTAAAAAAGGAATGCAATCCTGTCATTTTGAACAACATGAATAAGCCTGGAGGACATTATGTTAAGTGAAATAAGCCAGACACAGAAATTCAAATACTACATCCATTAACAATAAGGTATTCTGTATCTCAAAATAGCTTATAGTATCTTAAATGTTCCCCCAACAAGGAAATAATAAATGCTTGAAGTGATTACTCTGCTTATTACCTTGATTTAATTGTGATACAATGTAATATATATACCGACACATCAAATTGTGTCCCATAAATACATAGGATTATGTGTCAATTAAAAATAAACATAAAGCCAGGTGCAGTGGTACATGCCTGTAGTCTCGGCTACCTGGGTGGCTGAGGTGGGAGAGTGAATCAAGCCCAGGAGTTTGATTCCAGCCTGACTAACATAGTGAGATCCAGTCTCTAAAAATAAAATAAATAAAAATCATTTTAAAATGTAATAAATAAGGAGTAGGGCTAGATGGAACAGTTCCAGTCTGCAGCTCCCAGCAAGACCAATGCTGAAGGCTGGTGATTTCTGGATTTCCAACTAAGGTACCAGGTTAATCTCACTGGGACTAGTTAGACAGTGAGGGCCATCCAGGGAGAGTGAGCAGAAGCAGGATGGGGCACTGCCTCACCTGGGAAGTGCAAGGGGCAGGGCAGCTCCCTCCCCTAGCCAAGAGAAGTCATGAGGGACTATGCTATCTGGTCCAGATACTACGCTTTTCCCATGGTTTTTGCAGCCTGCAGACCAGGGGATTCCCTCATATGT